TGGCTGCCAAATAGCCCAGATTTGAACCTGTTGGATTATTATGTAGGGAGCTTTATTAAAGTCAAAGTCTCGACGTATTGCAAAGGGAAGAATTGAAATGAAAATCTCGGTGAATGGTGGTCATATTAAATACGCGCGCGCGTCAAAAATGAAACTTCTAGCACACATAGAAAATTTCGTCGAAATCTGTGTTTTTATTCGTAGACACAGATCACCCCAATTCGAGCGCCGCGCCCTGTAAAGCTGTGTATCGTTCTAATCATAACGTTAGTAATTAACACCCGTACAATACCCACGGTCTAGCGTCAAGGTCAACGAAGCATCCTCTCGTATAGAAAATACTAATTGTTAACATTTAAATTTTTTTATCTGAAATGTACTTCCTGGAATTCATATTTGTATTACCATTCTGCCTATACACATTGTCACACACGCATTATAATATTCTAAACGTTGCAGTAACTTGATTGATTGATTGAAATCTGCCGCCAGAGACAGAGGATTAAACATATTGCTAGCCCAGCTATTTGCCGAGCCCTAAAGTACCAGTCACGATTACGAGGATCTACGTGGTCAGAGTTCGTTTGTGCCATGCTCTACAAATTTGCTACTTTCAGGCTACCGCAATGTAACATTAGAATAATTGGTATTGCTTGTTACCATATACCCGCAACATACATTAACTAAAAAAAAAAAAAAAAAAAAAAAAAAAAGAGACTATCTCTTGGGAAAAGCCTCATTTTCCGAGGAAACAATCGGATTTTTTCAGAAAAAGCCTATTGTAAGGGTGGCGATTTCTTCTCAGGCGTGGACCCTGCATAAAAGTGCGCACTACCTCAGCTAAATACTCTTTTAATTTGATTTGTTTTCATTTGCGGATACTCTGGTATCAACATCTGCAGTTAGCAAGAGCCCTTAAAAGTCTAGCCGTACTCCGGGATTAAATTAAAACCAAAAGTTCTAAGCTTTATGTGCTGGCGCTAAGCTTGTGTCAGGCAGTTGATATTCCAAAATAAACTAGAATTTGCACCAATTTAACTATCTCTACGTGTAACGGTCACACGTTACCGCCGGTGATGGAACATCATCGCAGGAGCGCGAGATACATAATCAAGGGGTTAGGACTATTTTTCCCTGTAGACAATCACGCAGTGACCATTCGTCATGGAGCAAATAGGCACAGTTTCACAGTCATGCGTATAGAAACACTCGAAAGAAGACTTCAACCTTCTTTCCACTTACATTGCACACTTCACCTCAAAATTCATACCTCTTTTCTATGCAATTGCTTATCCAATATCGAACACCCCCAGTCGTAACTACCAATCTCAACAAATGATAGGTCAGGATGCTTCTGTTTGTTGCATACGAAAGATGCTCTTTTTCCGCGACAGACGTTACCTGCCTCTTGAGGACGTCAGCGAGCGTTAGACGCAGTCTCAGCGAAGAATTGTCTTAATGAAACCAAACGGAAACGGGTGTCTCGTCAGCCCCGAAACGTAATCGTTTACTGTACAATCCCAGCATCTGCGTTATTATTATTTTAGGTTATTAACGCAAGCTGCCAGCTTTTGCCACTTTTCAGCGTTATCTGTGTTACAAAAGCAGTGTTGACGGCCATTTTATACAGTGTCTCTGAGAAACAAATTGAGAAAATATTTACAGCAGTAAAAAATATTAACGTTACGTTACCCGACGGCTGATCGATGATCCGAGCACCGATTAGGGGAAATGTTTCATCCTACTCCGTTTTCAATGATGCTGGAAGTGTACCAGCTGTATATCTACTGTCTATAACAGTGACAAATATATGGGATATAGACGGTACAATATTGAATAATAATAATAATGTACACAGGTAGCAATTGATATGTAATTTTACGACGGGACCTGTATATCTATCGGGCGTCTGCTTGGAGATTTCATCTCCAAGAAGGATATTTACCCAGGCAGGAAAGGGCACAAGCTAACTACCATTTGACTCAATTGCTGATACTGCCACAAAGACGAATGTGTTGGTTGGAATCGCTAGCGCAGCTGTTCCCTAGCAGGACTGCTCGGTAGCGACAATGTTCCCAAGCTTAAAGCCCTAAAGAATCTATTATACCACAATTAACATAGTTGTACTATTCGGCTAGAAAGGTGTCAACGGCGAATCAGAGCCAGTGAACGGGCATAAACAGAAACAACCAATTTTTAGAAACTGAATCGCCGACCGCTCGTCTGCCAGTGCGTTGTGGCCTGTTGATACCCCCTGTTCATTGTCAACCGGTTTGCGGTATCGACTTTTCTGACCATTTGTGTTCTATCATTGCATCTATGGGTACGATACTCGTTGGCGTTACTTTTCACCCATCGTTCCAGCTGTCGATCGGTTGTTAACATTTCCTAGTCGATCCATGGAGTATATTTAAAATCGCGCTGGGGTCGAAACACTGAATAGTAAGGAACACAGGCCGTACGTGCTTTATAAGTCTATAGTACGTGATTCAGAGCTGCTGGTGGACCGGACGGTGATGGTCCAGGTAGGAAATATAGTTTGTGACCAATGCGCATCTCGTTTTGCGTACGTAAACATGCGGCGATCGCTGGTTTAAATCTTAGAAGTGGCAAATAATTACCACAGCATATTGTTACCATGCCGTTGTAAGGAAAAACTACCGGCCTAAACAGCAAGATTCACAAACCGGACAGTTAACAGCCGATGAAACGAAATATGCCACCATAAATAGTGTCTTATTTTGGCTCCGTAATGAGCGTCTGCCTTTTACGTGGCTCGGCCAATGACTAGACCCAGCCGCACCGTGAAGCACCCTTCTGGACGAGTACCGTAGTACAACGAAGTGAAGGAGCAGAAAGTGAAGTCGAACCCCGGTTGAAAACTTTGAGTCAATAATGCTGACAGACCACTAAGATGATGAAGTAGTTTAAATAAAAACAGTTCAGTTCAGTACTACGATAGACCTTCTTTTCGCCTGGAAAACGTTCTAAATCAATCTGGAACAATGGAATGAAACACGGAACACGTATCGTTTGTCTATGCTACAATAGAAGGAAATTAGGCCTTAGTAGCGCAACTGTTATTTTGAGCTTATCTAGCTCTCCCGGCTTCTCGTATATCTTTAAAGTTTATCTACAATTTTCGACCTTAGGTTTGATGTCACCTTTTTTCGGTTATAATATAATTAGGACAAACCATGGCTACCAGAAGAAAGTCAGTTCTTCTCAAAGCAAAACAGTATATTCATCATAGTTAAAACAGTGCATCATTTTTAGAACTTGAATTTAAGTTATTATCGATCGGGACGAAGTCCTACCAAACGTAGAACCTTCTCTATTGGTTTGAAATAAACGGTCGGTGTTATTTTTAGTTTTCACGCGGGTTCTGAAAAATCCGGAGAAGATTTAAAGGGCTCGAAAGTTAATCAAAATTATCTAGAAAGCTACTCTTAATACATCAGAATCAGTTATTATATATATATATATATATATATATATATATGTCGTGGTCATTTTAAGGAGCAAAGTGTCAGCTGACAATTGAGTCGTCCATATAAACTATAATCGTTATTTTTTTTAAAACTTTTGAGTTTTTTTTTCTCAAAGTTTTTTGAGTAATTCTTGGTAGTTTTAAGTCCTTGCATTTTCGAAACTTTTGCCCTGCTACCAGCCCATAATTCCACTAGACTTTTCTTGGTGGCATACTGAAGCGATACTATAATGATCTTTACACCTATAAATATTATCTGACGTATTAGAAAAAAAAATATTTTAAAAGTGACTAGGGTGATTGAGGTATCGACTCGGAAATCTAATTGCGATGGATAATCACTAGTAATGATAGCTCTAGCACGTGTACGGTATTTCACTCAAATCTATATTTTAATTCAGATACAATCCTTAAAAGCGCGATAGGAATACGTCCAGATTTAGACCCTCTATCCTATGTGGTGTGTATTGGCCTGTACACGATTCTGTTTGCTGAGAGCAACATACGTGCGGGCAGAGCGTTTATGTACGTGCGTTCGCACTACACAGGCATGTAAAGAATTGCTCTTCTCTGTCTCGATGAGTCAAATTTGGACGGGGGCCAGCCGGCCCTCTGATTTCTGCGGTCGCTATTCCAACTGTGATAGATCACATCCGTGAAGTTTTGAAGATAGTTTCCTCTTGATTGAATATGATCAGGATGAGGATACGCATTACACGACACACATCTACTATACATTGGTGACATCCTCAGGTCTTTATAATAAAGCAGCTAAACATAAACAATTTTAATGGCATGCATTTATCGAATCGTTTGTAACGATTTTCCTTATCGAGAGAACAGGTGATCGCACATAAAGCTTATATATTTTCAACGGTAAGATAGTTTAGAGTCATCTACGATAGGACTAAGCAGGAATAGGTAGCTGTGGACACGGCCCAATGCCAAAGTCAACTTCCTCCTTCAACCAACTTGATATATCGTATCAAGTGGGCTTCAGTAAACAGTGCCACGTCGTCATTGTATGCGTCGTCTAATGTATTTAATGTTTGTAGTATTATTGCACTCATATCCACGGTCTAGTCATTTGTACCTCGCTGTACAGTAGAAAACACAGCCAAAACGAAGCAGCAGAGATAGCGCAGTAACTGTTACAGCGGAGAAACTTTTGTTCGTTCCTATTTGATGCATTTAACTGATGACGTGATGATTTACTGCAGGAAGTAAGTCTCCCAGACGCTACGTAAAAGGACGGACGACTATCAACTACTAATGTTAGCATTGTTCCATGGGAGAGCAACGTCGTTTGTAATCAATAGTTGGCTAAGTTACAAGTTTGCTTTTGGTCCGCTGATCCTGCCTAGTGTATTGTAGAGGCCAGCGTTGAATGCTCGTTCGATAGGTATTATATGGGTGTCTATTTCGGTTCGACACGATATTGCTTTCCTTTGATTAGTTTGAGGCAGATGATGATCTTTTTTATGACAGTACGTTCTGTCGACCTTTTCAGGAGTTAAGAATAATCCGACCGGATTGATCACAAAGCTTGCGGTCGAGGGCAATCATATCAGGACAGAAGTAGCGATTCTAGTGTTGCCAAATTAACCGCTACTGCTCTGACGAGGTCGCGTTATGTCACTGGCCGCGCAATGAATATCATGAGATCGAAACAGCCCATTGCCCCGAAGATGGCCCAGCCGTCCATTCCGCCCTCCGAGCGTATACATATGTTTGCTCCAGAAGCCAGTATAGTTCACTTAAAAATTGCTCACTACATTAATAAAGCTCAAGCTATGGTACACTGGACGTTAGTTTATAAAAATCGCCAAAGAACAGATTGTGTGGACGTCTTTCGTCTGCATTGCCACAATCCACCGCAGTGCTCCACGAGTATGTACAATGAAATCTATTTGGGCTTCAATAAAACATCTTTTTAAAGTACCCCAACAGTAGAAAATGGCAAGACATTGTTCGGCTGCCCGTATCATCATAGATAAAGCCTAAGTTCGATAGGAGCCCTGCTAAACGTTCATTGAAATTTATCAGAAATATTTGGGTACAACAGATGATAGCCCTTTGCCCTTTTAACTCAAATTGTTGCCATATCAGGCATATCATAGATATTCGGACACTCCCCGCCAGTTAGTCCGAGAAGTGAGCGTCTTTCTTTCATAATAATCGCCTTTGGACTTCAATGAAGAATGCGGGTAGAAGGCTACTTGCAGCTACGGCGGAATAAATCAAATAGAATAATTGTGATAGAAAGATAGAAACAGGTTTTCTTGTCACGTTTTGTCCTGAATTTAAGCCTTGCCTTCATAATGCTCGATCAGTTGAAATGAGCTACAGATATTTATTGGCCAATTGATCAGTAAAATGATAAATATATAGAAAAAACGTAAGATTACTATATATACTACTAACGGCGATTATACCATAAATCAGTAACGACGCACATAGTGTCATACGTAACTTATATCAAATATATATTTGTTCAGTTTAAACATGCAGAATAATCCATTATGTGACATAGATAACCGAAAATACAGTCGCAATAAATCAAGTTAAATTCTCAGCGATTTTAGACATTTGTGTACGTGTCGGGCTCATATCGTCAGCTGATTTCTTACTATAGATTTTGCAGGGATAGCAGTGCTTGAAGTTAGGTGTTCTTTATGTTTCGAGATTTTCGTATGGAACTACCTTCGTTAAGCATGCTTTACACAGTTAACTTTCGGAACTGAAGGCCGTGCGTTTCCCGCGCCAACGCCATCACCCCGTGCGTCTCTAGCCTTAATACGCTACCACACGACATCAGGCGAGTAACCTTACATCTGAGCATTCTATCATACTGCATGAACTTTTCCCAACCATCCTTCTAGTGTTTAGGCCGGCGACACCGAAATATTCAGTCACTACAAGATCTTTCGCTGGTCTGACGTGGTAATGGACAAAAGCTTGTGCTGTCTTCAGTGCCCAACCGTGATGGAGGTACTCGCTGCTGCTGCTGCTGCTGCTGCTTTAAATGATTGAAAATCACGTATTTCGCCGAACAGACCTCTTGGCTTCTTACGCGGAATAGGTCTAGTATCGCTTCTTTTCAGGATGTTAGGTTCTAGCTGCGCAACACTGATATCGTTTACTGTAATATCTCGTATTGTCTGGGCCCTTCTGGCTTTTGTCAGGTTAAGCAAGTAAGTGCCTGAAGCTTAAGCTTACCAACAAAACGGACCAGCCGAAACCCTCAGCTGTTTCGTCTAGGAGATTTGTTTCATGAACCCTGCATGCAGCAGCAGGAATATGCTGAATTTGCCTACGAGATCATTCAAATGCAGTGTATAACTGTGGAAGATAAAGTTCGCTCGTGGACGCGAACTGCAGAAGTGACTGGGCAGATAGGAAATGCTGGTCTAACGCAGTCGTCTAATAAGGTTTGAGTGATAGTTTCAATACGACAAGTTAATGTATATTCGCTCGAATCAGTCCATGCTTCATTGATCCATGAATGTGTACTTTATATATTTCATTCTAAATAAACATTTATAACATCAAAAGGTTGTTTGTAGTTTTTTTACATTTAATGACGCTTGTTTTTTATCCTTGTAATTCATATACGTTGCACGTTCGTCTGGAACTTCACCGAGAGACGCTTGCTCAGACAACGTTTCAAGTTTTCCACGCTGAAGCCTTTTCCGCTCGATGAATCTTCAAACAATAATGCGTGAAAACATTACTAACCCATAACGTAGCTGCTGGAAGATACATTTGCTACTAAATTGCCGTTTTGGTCAATTTCGGCCTGGGAACGCGTAGGACCTTCGTAGATATTAATCTTCCAGTACCTACGTCTTTGCGTTCCACGTTGATCGATCTCTTCATAGGTAATGCTTTGAATATGCGGCTTGCAAAACGCCGTCGACCCTTACGATATTAGTGTGGCCTATGTATACAGTCGTAGGATATCGCCATATCAGTTATAAGATCAATACACGCAACTATAGTATTATATAATGGAGGCCGTTCTTTCAAGCGCATATGTATATATATAATCGACTTATTCTAGGTGTTCTCTTGCTTTGTATTTATCTTTGTTTGCTATCGGAAACAAATGTGGTGTCTATCTCGTACGTTTGTCTCTATACCCAAGAACGTTTATGTTACTGTTTGTTGACTCCGCGGCAAATTCGCTATGTAAGCATACGTGATGGCAAATTCTGCTCGCTGAGCCCGCACAGAAGAAGATCAACTTCACTGTACCGCGCGCGATTTGGCGACGACCAAGAAGTAGGACGTTATAACAGCACGAAGACAAGCCGCATGCGTCAACTTCAGGACGTCTTGGAAAACATTGTCGTTGACGACACGCTCAGTGGGGACGCTTAACGCTACAGCTCACTTCGTTGCTTTCTATGATTGAATAAAGGCCGTCATTTTCTTTTTTATTTGATTCGAAAACATAATGTCATATTAACTCAACGGAATTAACAAGACGTCGGCTTAATTGCTCCCGTATATTTAGCACTATGGCATTCGCACAAAAAAGGCCTATGGCGGACGTTAGGGCGCTAAAATGAGGAAAACACTTCCAATGCATCGTTCGCTTGCGGCAATTCGTTTGCTTTGGCCTGCTGCAAGAGGCGCTTGGGGATACGGCTAAGAGATGAATATATGAAACTGTCTCAGCCAAGGCTATAATTAAACGAGACGAAAAACAACACATTTCTTTTATTTTTAAATATTTTTTACCGCTTTTTGGACCTTTTTTTTATAATTACTCATGTCATTTGTATTGGGTAAAGACACGTTCGGCACGGTATTTCAGACGCGAATAAAATCCCCGTATTTCAAGTAACCAAAATCACATGTAATTATAGTAAGGGTCAGCAAAATGTTTAAGTTTACGTTACATAACTAAACTTTCTTCAAAAACGACCTTCGTCAAAGATGTGATCAGGAACTTCTCGCCGAATTCATAATTAGCCAATTACGAAACATCTCTTCTATATATATATGGTCTGGTATATATATGGTATATTCTGGTATGATATATGGTTCTATATATATGGTATAAATGGTCGCCCTTGTTAAATAGATAGAGACAATACAAAGAAAACAAGGGCAAATTTCTAATAAATCTATTTATTAAGAATTATTCTAAACTACCAATTCTATTCGATTTACGTAACAATCCCCTTTGTAGCTTTACTAATTCGCTTAATTTTACATAATCCTCTAATTTATGATATTATAAATCTATCATAGAAACCAGCAATTACATAGTGAATCCTATTCTCAATCGCTGTGTAGTCACTTTCATCGTTATCGGTAGTAGGTCCAATTTGCCTTACTACCCCCCACCTCAAATCCTTCCTGCGCTTAAGGCAAAGATCATTTTTCCGTACCCACACATACAGCCACAATGATAGATATATTGGATATGGGTCGGGACGCTTGAACAACGCTGCCCGCTGTCCATACGGGTCTCTGCCTCTCACCTTCGATAATCGGTCTCTCACTGACTTTTCCGGCTGCTTCGCGCAGCACTTTTACCGTCGGCTCTTAACATCGACGCTTCCTGAATCTCGCGCGCTTTTCACGCTCCGGCGGAGATATGGGCAAACAGACGTATCAATAGGCAGATGGGCTGTTCGGACCTGCTCTGCTTCCTATACCCTCCTCGCGTTCTCCTTTATGCCTGCAAGCGACTCGTCGATGTTGGCTAGCGACGGGCGTCGCGCGTTTGCTCTCGGTACGCTTGCCAGGCAAAGCTTTTAACGCTGGTAATAGCTGATAATGAACGAGTGAAGCAGAACAAAGTAATGGTACGCAATTCGACCTAACGCCCACGCATGGGCTTGGATGCCAGCGCAAGCCAGTGCAAACAGGGTGTCTAGAAAGATTCAATGATAAACCCATAATCATTGGCTATTATATCATGCCGACTCGATTACTGCTTTAGCGACATACGCGAAAGACATTGGTTCCTGAGAATCTTTAGAATCGAACATACACTCAACGTTAGGAGGGACCAGTCATGTGAAGCAACACTTCGAATTGTAGTAGCCTCGGCCCGGGCCTAACCTTCGAAACATTCAGACACAGCTAAGATGATCACATCTAACGCTGCTGCTCGAAGAGCTTTCTGAAGTGACCTTGCTTGACCACAGTGTACCTTTGCGTTGAGAGTTTGTTAACAAAGTTCAACAAATGCGTTTTGATTTACCCTCAATACCAATTCTTCGTGTTCTGGTCGAACTATTTGAATATGTACAACCTGCTGACAGATAGCTGCGAATAGCTTGACAATTTCACCCTCACAAAAATCTACGCCTGTACTATTTTTTCAACTTTGAACATGCTACCAATAAACCACAGTCTTCTATAATACTTCACTACTACGCCCTCCCTATTGTCACATGACAGCCGCACCGCTGAGCGCTTTATCCAAACATCCAGCTATATCTGTATAGGTTAAATATACAATATGGTCGTTGGCGACGTAAAGCCCAATGATCATGATACCTTTTTTCTTCATTCGTTACCCGAGGTTCAATGAGACTCGATTTTGTTTTTACTGTCCGCGGCGCCACTACCATCCCTTTTGACACGATCGCCGCTCCTGCTGCCGCCGGTGTTTTTGAGACGGACGGACGGGCGGGCGGGCGGGCGCGCGCGCGCCCGCGCGCGCGCATTAGGGAAGCGAACAAGTTGTTTATATCGAAATCGAGTAGTGTACATGTCCGAGAGTAAGGCGAGCACACGACCCTACGAAGCTGATGGCGATAAGGCTGTTAGTAGTAGCTAAAGCCAGCTGTTTGCCCAGTCGCCCCGGCAGACGCTACCCTCACTGATGCCCCACGCGATCGCCGCTTGCAGTGACGCCCCAGTAAAGGAAGACGTGTTGTTGCTGCCGCCGCCGTTGTCAATAAAGGTGGCAAGGCGTTCGAAAAGCCTGGCAGAGAGCGTTAGTAATGGCTATTATTGTTATGATAGAGTAGATTCACTGGAAGAGGTCAAGGGAAAAACCGGTCACGAGATTTGTGGTTACAAAAGATACGCTCCTGAACTGTTACACACCGTAGGGTACCCTTTACTAGTTCTATCTCTTATTTGTTCAGTTAATATTTGTTCGTATCTTTTTCCAAGCGTCGAAACATGGCAACCATGCTTGTTGAGTATATGTATGTCAATACGTACCCTCAATGGCGGATAACTCTTACCCTATCCGATAATATTACCTATCAAATTTCTGCTTTACTATTGCCATCGAATAGGAAATGATTTGCTCAAGAAGCTTTTGTTTTGTTGTTGTTGTTGTTGTTGTTGTCTTCGGTAGCAAATAGGAACAAAGGACCTTGACCAGAAGCGGCGGGAAGGCAATGTATGCCCACTACGCTTATTCGATATGGTTTACAACAAGTCGGATTTAGAGATATAAAATTGATTAGCGGATAAAAAGAAGAAAAAAAGTACGTTATTTACTAATCAGGCACGATTTAGTATACAGATAGGTTCTACTTAACGTAATGCCATATATACTTTGCACGCGCGCTGTAGGGGGTGCAGGGGAAGTGGGGGTCTTAACGCATCAGCTTACACTGTTTATTACGCGTTTGAGGTAGACGCGCCATATATCGCGGCTTAAATGTGCGTCTACGAGATGAAACGAAAGGCTCAGACAGGGTCGACGGTTTCGGATACTCAAGTAAAATGAAAAACAATAAAAGTGACGGAGCCATTTTCAACGTCTAGTTGTGATGACGACACCGCAAAGCGTCGACGTTAGACAATGATATATATATACACTCAGTAGAAAACACGGTAGGGATTTTGCTGGATTTCTAACTGAACGGTGTGTTACTTGACAATTGCGACAAGTATGCACATTCGCCGTGAACAGAAAAAATACATTGCCATAATGTCTGTCCTTATTCATTTGGGGCATAAAGGCAAACGGCCTTAATCCACAATGACAGGTCTACGTAAGTTTCACAGGTGTCCTGTTCGCTGGCCGACAAGCGAACTGTTGTCTATCGCCTCGAATGCATGGTACGAGATAAAATCTATTGCACAGGCGATTTAGGCAACTTAGCTCTGTAATTAGGTCGTGCAGCTGTTCGTCTAGACGAATTGTCACGGCACGACAAGACGGCACTTACCGACTGCTAAAGTGGCCGATGGGTCAATTTTTAATAAAATCAACACCAGAGAATGAGGTCATACTATTGCAAAAAGACCCTATTCATTAACTGGATTTACACTTTGCTACGAAACTGAGCCAGAATGGTCAGATTCATCTAATTTCTGCCCACATACCTTTCAAAATAGTTGATATCAGATCAGGGCCAAGATCAGAAATTTGTAAAATGAAATAACACTGTTGAATTGATCGTTTTGAAAGGTTATATGGTCAGTTAGTCAAGAAATACGAAATATATATATATATATACGCATAGAGAGAGAGAGAGAGAGAGAGAGAGATCAGCGAAGTGCAGCTGCATGTGGACTCCTCATGAGAGAGTCTTGATGATCAACCGAGCCATTTTAAGTCAGAAAAGCCTGAAATAACACTGCTGTTTGTTTATTCTGTACAGAATAACGATAACAATGACGTCTGATGGCTCTTAAGGGAGAGAAAAAACGAGAACAAGTCTTTTTGTTCGCCCCCTCCAACAACGTCCGAGCCGTCGCCGATGTTATTGTAAAGGCATTGGCAGCTTAGGCACACTGTAATATGACAAATTTCCAGCAGACTTTCCGACAAACCACATCCATAGAGAAACCCATATAGA